TTTAAATTTATAAAAAAAAATTCTTTTCAAAACAAATTATTTTTAAGTTTGGCTAAAGTGCTAAACACTCTCCACGAAGCAACTTCTACACCATCTAACCTAATTCATTATATGTGGGACCCCACCTCCTCCTTTATCAATAATTCATCGGTGGCGTCAACTTGGACCCCACCTTGACCTATAGACCGTCAATTATGGTCCATTAGGACACGAAGACCCCGCCTATAAGTAAATTCTCAGAGAGCCCATGTCTAAACGTAGCTTTTCCAACTCCTATTTCATTTAATTTTCCAGGCGAAAATGAAATTTTCTCTTGTCGCCGTGGCAGTGACGTTGGCGGTGGTGCTGCTGGTTGCAAGCGAGTCACAGAGGGCGGAGGCAGTGACATGCAACCCCACCGAGTTGAGCCCTTGCCTATCTGCAATCACGTCGGGTTCGCCGCCATCCGACGCTTGCTGCGGCAAGTTGAGGGAGCAGAAGCCCTGCCTTTGTGGGTACCTCAAGAACCCTAATCTGAAGCCGTTCGTCAACTCTCCAAATGCTAGGAAGGTCGCTAACACCTGCGGCGTTCCCTACCCTCAGTGTTAGCGCTGCATGCGCGGCGGCGCAGTCATAAATAGCCTTGCCGTACCGTCAATTCGTATCATGAATAAGGAGATCTACATATCCAGTATGGATGAAGAAATAATAAATGAAGTTAATGATGTTTCAACCTCTGCGTTGGACCTATGCCAAATTCTTCTTCAATTCGGTACTAGTATTTGTTTATAAGATTATGTAATGAATAAGACTTGTTTAGAAGTTATGGTCTCTTCTGTTTCTATTTAAAATAATACTAGAGTTTGTATTGCAAAATTTATTGTTATTGCAACCGGTAATTTATAAACTATATATGACATACTGTTGAAGGAATGAGGGAAATATATTAAAAAAGTGAGTATTAATTTATATTATAAAAAATTAAATAAAATAAATTTAAAATTATATTATTTTAATAAAATTTCATAAAAAAATTAAAATATCTTAAGTTTTAACATAAAAATGAAATTATCTTAATTTTTTATTGTGATAATTTAGTAAAATGATATAATTTCAAAATATTTTTTATTTAGTTTTTTATAACACAAATTAATACTTATTAAAATTTAAAAATATATATTATAATTTAAACTATAAAATATTATTTTTAAATAAAAAAATTTAATAATAAAAAAATTTTTTATCAAATAGAAATAAT